TCACAGGGACCCCCGACACCGGTGGGCCCGCCCGGACCCCGGGAAGAGCCCGCGGGACCGTCACCCCGAGGTTTCACTGTCAGTTTCGGGTTATTCCCGGCGGGAGGGCGGGGCGGGGCGAGCGCGGGCTGACGCGGCGGGACAGGGTCTCACACCCTTCAGCAGATGTTCGGCTGCGAGCTGGGGCCCGACGGGCGCCTCCTCCGCGCGTACAAGCAGTACGCTTACGATGGCGCCGACTACATCGCCCTGAACCCGGACCTGCGCTCCTGGACCGCGGCGGACACGGCGGCTCAGATCACCCGGCGCAAGTGGGAGGCGGCAGGAGTGGCTGAGTACTGGAGGAGCTACCTGCAGGTGGACTGCGTGGACTCGCTGCGCAGATACCTGGAGCACGGGAGGGAGACACTGCAGCGCGCAGGTGAGAGGGGCCGCGGGGTCTCCTCATCTCCCCGTGGGGAGAGTGGAGTCAGGGTCACAGCAGCGCCCCCTCTGATAAGCGAAGGAGGACCCCCCTGGGTTTCCTGACTGGCCCAGAGGACCCTGCTTTTCCTCAGAACAGCTAAGAAGTCCAGGCTCTCCTGACCTGAGGGGAGACCGGCCCTGTGCTCACTTGCACCGGATCCTTATGACCGGCAGCCATCTCCGGTCAAGCACGTTTTTCTGATCTGACTGGTGCGTTTCTTTTCCTTTTATAAAAGGTTTATTTATTTGTGTGTACAAGAACTGGGATGCAGGCCAGAGGTGCTGGGGGTAAGCAGATTCACCAGAGACAGAGTGGGGAGCAGAACAGGCCAATGTCCTGAAATACACTGCTGAGGGGAGCAGCGAGGTCGGGGTGGGGGTTGGTCAGGAGACCTCTGCTGTGCCATGGGGTTCACCTCCTGGCTGGGGAGCCAACTCCTGCAGAAGCAGCTGCGCTGGGTTCCTAGTGCTGCACCTCAACCTTTTCCCCAGGTCAGGAGCAAAACTTGTGTTCTCCTCCTCAGAGACCTGCGTCCTCCTATCTTTAGAGCTTTCTAAGCAATAAGAGATGACCCCAGGCTCCCCAGAACAGGCTGGTTTCTAGACTTTGTGCTTCCTCTACCCAAACCCACTGCCCCGTGTATTCTGAGAGTGGTCACAGAGGCTTTTCCAGGGTCCATGAGGGAAAACCCCAAAGTTGAATGTTCTTGCCTCTCTCCATAGGTCCCCCAAACACACAGGTGACCCGCCACCACAATTTTGACCATAAGGTCACCCTGAGGTGCTCGGCCTGGAACTTCTACCCTGCGGAGATCACTCTGACCTGGTATCGAGATGGGGAGGACCTGACCCAGGACATGGAGCTGGTAGACACCAGGCCTGGGGGCAATGGAACCTTCCAGAAGTGGGCAGCTGTGCTGGTGTCTTCTGGAGAGGAGCAGAGATACACGTGCCATGTGCAGCATGAGGGGCTGCTGGAACCCCGAATCCTGAGATGGGGTGAGGACGGAACATTGGCACAGAGGCTGTTTTCAGGGGGGATGAGGGGGCCCTCTGAGGACCTTCAGAGAGTCAGGATGAGGCCTGGGACTCAGGGTGTCACTTTCACTTCCAGAGCCCCCTCCTCACTCCTCCACCCCCACCGGGGGCCTCATTGCTGGCCTGGTTCTCCTTGGAGCTGTGCTCGCTGGGGCTGTGGTGGCTGCAGCTGTGACGTGGAGGAAGAAGCGCTCAGGTAGGGAGAGAGTGGGGGATCCTGTCCACTGGGGGCTTTCAAGTCCCAGGGAGGACTTGTCCCTCCTGGTTAATGGGAAGCACCATCTACACACATGTTTTGCCCAGCCTGGAGCTGATTGCTAACATGTTTTTGTAAATCATTTATGAAAATGAATTACAGATGTTCACCTTGATAATTCTGGTGATGGGGCCCTGATTCTCAGCAGATGGCCAAGGGGAAAGTCCCTGCTGAGGACAGACTCCAGGACAGGTGGTCCAGTCCCCCCTCGTCTCTTTTGTTCGTGTTTCCCAATCCTGCCCAGTCCCCCCTCGTCTCTTTTGTTCGTGTTTCCCAATCCTGCCCTAAGTGTCCTGTCACACTTCTGGAAACTTCCCTGTTGCCCAGGACTAGGGGATTCCTTTAGCCTTTCGTGGGCTTTCTGCTCCCTGGTGTTGGGTCCCAGGTGAGCCTCCCCAACCACCCCCAGAGCTTAAGCACAAGATCGTAATAGGAAGAAGACATCTTGCCACATGTTTGAGTGGCTTAATGCCGTGTCCGGCTGATCGGAGCCGAGTCCAGTGAGGGACGATGAGGTTAAAGAAAACACAGGACGCCGAGGTTCTTCATCCAGGAGTTTTTTGTTTATTGCCCAGCGACCCCTTTATATACCATTAGGCAGTGGGAGTGGAAGATTAAGGCGGGAAAGGAGGAAGTAGGGAATTTCTCTTGCCACACCACCTGCAGCTGCTAGATGCCGACACTCCCTTACAAGGGAGTGTGCTAGGGCAGAGAAAGGTCAGGTCGTCCCTGTGGCGTCTTAGGTAGATAAACACAAGTCTGTGTCATGGCTTTATCGGCCCAATCACCTGGCCCCCTTGACAGGCACAACAGG